ACCGTGGTGGCGAAACTTGGCCCTATTCTACCAAAGGCCACGTATGTCTTTCTCCTCCAATCAAGATATGCGACGTGTAAGGCTGAAAATTACCTTAAACAAGCGGTATATCAATTCAAATTAAAATATAGTATTGAACTATAACTGCCAATCAGCTATTATCACAATAATAGAAATTTATTGTCATTTTCAAAATGCACTGTTTATTTTAGTCATTCCTCTTGTTGCCCTTGAGGTTTTGAATGAGGCTCAACTATTGAATCTAAGATAAATTTATAAGACCTTCGGGTTACTCCAATCATTCATTCCAAGTAAAAAAAAAAAAAAGTTATATCTAGAAAGTTAATTTTCCCCTCTTCTTCGGGTTACTATTGACTCTAAGATAAAAAGTTATAAGACCTTCGGGTTACTTGCATCACTCTCCCTCCTTCTCCTATGTCTCCGTCTTCAGAATGTCGATATCTCTTCGCCAATTTCACTTGCCGCCCGTCGATAGTTCCTTCATGGGATCTCCATCAACTTTGATTTCCCTTGTCTGTGAGTTATGTTTATATGTGTATGTATATTCCCAAATATATATTTAAAAGTGAGATGGTTATTAGAATCTACGTGAGAAATTATAGCAACAAAGTATTGGAGAGAATGTAGCAAAAAAAAAAAAAAATTGAATTTAGAGAAAGAGTAATATTTTATTTTAAATATAATAAACAAATAGTAAGAGTAAAACGGTCAAAATCAAACCTGTGAAATAGTTGAAAAAATACAAATAGATATTTTTAATAACAAAAAATTATTTGGTCATTTTTTCAAAAGGAGCTGACAAATATGGACACATTATAAATTCCAAAAAAAAAAAAATGAGTGATTATAGAAGTCAGTGAATGGGCCAGTTTGGTAAGAAAAATAAAAACTGGTTGAACCATTGACCTAAAATTATTTAAAAATAAATAAATATGAGTTGTATAACCCATAATTGTAGTTTGACAATACCGTTTTGAGAAAAATAGCAGAACCGCTGGTTTTCTAAAATCCGCAGTAAAATAAAATTTTTCAAAAAATGTTTTCTATTTTTATTATTCTCTCTATCTATTCTCTTCATGAGTTTTTTTCTTCTCACTATTTTGTCCGAAGTCTTCAATTTCTTTTATCTTGCATTAGTTTCAACTAAAATCGATCAATCGACTGTGGAATCGGTTGATCAGTGATGTAGAGCCTTCTTAAAATTGCTAAGTTTTGATAGACAAAAACTAACTTATCAATGTTTGGCGTTAATATTCACATGTAACACCTCCAAATTACATTAAATATTTTTGACATTTTCTCAAAAGTCATAGAAGTTAGGTGTACCCTCGTTATCGTCTTAGGCCATTTAATAATACAACAGAGAGAGGGAGGTAACCTGCGGTAGCTACCAGTGAAGTTCTAGAAGCTAAGTACCCTCACTAATGTCTTGGCCATTTAATAATACAAGATAGAGAGGGAGAGGTAACTTGTGGTCGGTGATATCTCAAGCTTAATAATCTACCATATTTTTTAGGTTAAAATGATAAGATTTAGTAAATTTGAAGGTTGTGTTTAATACATCTCTGAATTTTCAAACACAATAACAACTTTCATTTTGCCCGTCATCAATGGAAAACGATGTCGGTCATTTCGAGTGTAATTGTTTCGCTTTAATGACGCTTGCCTTTAATGACAGTCATTCCTCGTCATTGTATAGGCAATCGACATTATTTCTCCGCCCGTCATTATTGGTTGGTCATTATTGGTTCATCATTATATGTGCGTCAATGTGCTTAATAGATCTTTGAACTTTCAAACAATACAATAAATTTCATTTTGCCCGTCATTAAAGGAAAACGATATCAATCATTTCGCCAACACGAGCGTCGCTCAGTGATAATTGGAATATATCTCTAACCAAAAGGACATGAGTTCGAATCCCCTACCCCCACTTTACGTACTAAAAAAAACGATGTCGACCATTTCGAGTGTCGTTGTTTCACTTTAATGACAGTTGCCTTTAATTGAAAATCATTGCCCGACATTATATGTACATCGTTATATGTGTGTCATGGAATATCTATAATGAAATATTCATTTTTTATATTTTCATGATAGACAATGCCCGTCATAAATTTTTAAAGTTCAAAGATTTAATAAATTGAAAGTTCAAGGATCTATTAGACACATAATTAAAAGTTTAAAAATCCATTAAACGTCTTTTAGAGTTTAAGAGATCTGTTAAGATACAAAATAAAAAACTTAGAGATCTAGTACATAATTTTTAAAGTTAAAAGACCTATTAGATAGAACCATATGACTTTATACTTCTTGTTTCTCAAGTTTTTTGATAGAAATATTCATAAATTGTATAGAAATTTTGGGAGTAACAAAAACTAATTTCTTGTTTCTTATTTTTGTTTCCATATATTATTCTAAAACATGAATAAAAATATTGGTTTATCATTCTGATAAGAAACATGAATGTTGGAGTATGCAATTTTTTTTATCTTTATTAAAAAATGAGGAAACATAGAAAAGAAACAAGAACATTTAGCAAATTAGTTAAATTTAAATAAGGGCTAAAATCAATACTCTACATAGTTAAGTTTTACTTTTCTTTTATTAATTTTTTTCCTTTATTAATCTTTTAAAAAACTTTGTGGTTATTGTGTGTTTTTTTTTCTTTTTTCTTTTTCTTGTTATGTTAGAAGACTATTTTTTAGATATCATTTTCAAAAAACAAATTGTGTTAGGATACTTTGTTTTTACGTTGGGTGGGATGTTTTGTTTGACAAGCAATTAAAACATTTTTTGCAAAGGATAAAGTTCACAAATATTCTAAGTTTAAGGTTTAATTGAAAAAAAAAAGATTTTTTTATATAACCACCAAAATTAATTGAACGATAAAGTTCACAAATATTCTAAGTTTAAGGTTTAATTGAAAAAAAAATGATTTATTTATATAACCACCAAAATTAATTGAGTAAAAGTTTACGAATAATTTGGGACAAAGTTTAGTTTTAAAAATAAATTATAAAAATAATGCTAGTTTAAAAATATAACAAAATAAAGGTAATTTAAATAAATAAATTCTAAGTTAGATTTTAAAAATTATTGACAAAAATAGGTTAGGTCAAAGTGAAAGTCAAAACTCATGTAGGTTGCACTTTTTTTGGAAGTCGCGTATGTACGCGACTTCCACCTTTTAATCTTTTAATTTTTTTTTCTATTTCAATTTTTTCTATTGTTATTTTATTAATTTTGTGAAATTTAATTAAGATGTAATTAAATTTTTTATTGTTTGTTATTATATTTTAAATTTTGATTAAAGTATCACTTAAAGTCTGAAAGTTTAAAATTAGATTAAAACCAATTAGATTATAAAAATGTCATTTCAACTTCTTGTGCCCGATATATTCTATAAATAACATTTAAATTTAATATTAATATAAATTAAATCGATAAAAAATTATTAAATTAATGAAAACATAAAAGTCAAGGTATATTTGAATATACGTAATTTTTTTTAGAACAAATATATAATTTTCGAGCATCATATCTATTTAAATATTCCCCAACATCATTATAAATTTACTACAAAACAAACATGATTATTATCTCAACCTGCCGAACATCACATCTAGAAAATTTAACTTTACCTCATGGTAGATAATACATGACCTATTTTTCAAATATGGAAAAAATTAAAATTATACACGTGTTTTTCTTGAATTATGGTTTTTTAAAATAAAATTTAAAATATTAAAAAAAAGGGAGAAGAAGAACAAAGGGAGGTGGGAAGTGGCAGCCATTGGCTGCGACTTCCTTAGATCCGTCAGCATGCCACGTCAAGGAGAACGTCTGCGATTTCGATCTAAGTTGCAGGCGATGGCTGCGACTTTGCTCAAATCGCAGCCCATCCGTGCGATTTATCTAYCCTATTTTTGTAATTATTTTGAAACCTACACTAGTTTGTCATTTGTTTTTAAAAAATAATTTTTAAAAAAAATCCAATAATTTGTTATTCAATATATATTATCATAACACCTAGTCCTCTTTCATTGAATTACAAATTATTTCCTCGAAATTTGATGGTTATATCTGTTTAGCCTCTTCATTTAAAAATAATAATAATAATTAATTGTGTCTCTAGATTTTGATTTTGATTATAATATTTGTTTTACTTTTAATACCATCATTTAAATATTGATATGGTAGGATATGATAAGATTATATGAATGGATCTGATGTGACCCATGAAAGAATGGCCAATTAAATAAACAAAGAATGGGCAGGTGAGATAAAACATTTAATATAGTGGTGGGTGAAATGCATTTTTATTGCAATTTTTCACATGGGTAATACTATAATGATAAGACTTATAAATGAATTGATTTCTTCACGCAAGACATAAAAGCAAAATTAAAAGGATAAAATAATAGTTTTTGTTTTTGAAATTTAAATTTAGTTTTAACTTCATCTTTTCAAAATTAAACTGAAATTTTAAGTGATTGAAATTTGAATTTACTATCTAATTTGTGTCTGAAGTATTGATTTGATTTTTTCTTGGTCTTCCACATCAACTTAACCGTAGATTTATGTAACAATATTTTTCATTGTCTTTTACTTAAATAGCAATATATATCCAGATATGTTAACTGCCATGTCATTATTATGTTAAGTTGACTAAGGGTCAACTCAACTTAGAGATTTAGTTGAAAAACAAATTCAACTCTCTCGGGAACCAAACAAAAAACTAAATTCAAATTTTTGTGACCAAATATCTCACTTTTGAAACTTCAAGTACCAAATAGAAGTTAAATTTAAATTTACGGGACCAAAAGTGATAGTTTTTTTTTTTAATTTAGGGATAAAAAATAAAAAATCGAATAAAAACATTTAGGAACAAAAAAAAAAGTATTATTTTATCCGATTAAAGTTTGTTTATTTCAATAAAAGAGATTTGGAGAGATTCTTTCACCAATATATACCACGTGAGTTTCTTCAGTGAGAAAAGCAAGGCTTGTAAGCAATGGGAGAGAGCACAGAATTGCTTCGAGCTCAAGCCCATGTTTGGAATCATACTTTCAAATATATCAACTCCATGTCTTTAAAATGTGTGGTTGAATTGGGCATTCCAGACATCATCCATAGCCACGGCCAACCCATGAGCCTTTCCAATTTAGTGGATGCACTCCATATTCAACCTTCCAAAGCTCAATGCCTAAATCGCCTTATGCGTCTCCTCGTTCATGCTGGTTTCTTTATTCAAACTCATGGCGATAATGAGCAAGAGGAGTACGCTCTTACGCCGTCCTCTCGCCTTCTCCTATGCCGCAACACGGCATTTGAAAACATACCTTTTGTGTTTCTAATTCTCAATCGAGCTATGATGGCTCCATTGGAAACCATGAGTAGTTGGTTATGTAGTGTGGATGAGCATTCCAATTCTGCCTTTGAAATGGCGAATGGAAAGTCGATATGGGATTATGTATCGCAGGAACATGATTTTGGCAAACTATTTCATCAAACAATGGTGCATGATTCTCAACTAATTGGAAAAGTAGTTACAAGGGAGTGTCGAGAGGTTTTTGAAGGGTTGAAATCGTTGGTTGATGTTGGTGGTAGCACAGGCTTTATGGCCAAGGCTATTGCAGAGGCATTTCCACACATCACTTGCACTGTGTTTGATCTCCCTCAAGTGGCTGCTAACTCCCAACAAACCACAAAAAACTTAAGTTTCATCGGAGGTGACATGTTTGAAGCAAAAATTCCACCTGCAAATGCAGTTCTGCTTAAGGTATACTTTCTATCAATAGTATTTGTACGATTAGTAAAAACCATATCTTTCTGAAGTACTTTCTTTGGTAATTTGACAACTAGTGGATTCTGCATGATTGGAATGACGAAGAAAGCATTCGAATATTGAAGAACTGTAAAGATGCAATTCCAAGTAGAGCCGAGRGTGGGAAAGTGATAGTCATAGATATGGTAGTAGAAAACCAAATAGAAGACAAGGAGTCAGTTGAAGCTCAACTCTGTTGTGATCTCTTGGTGATGACGAGTTACAACGGGAGAGAGAGAAATGAAAGAGAATGGAAGAATCTCTTTTTAACTGCTGGTTTTAGTGACTACAAGATAATTTCTATGTTGGGTTTAAGGTCTCTGATTGAGGTGTACCCTTAATAATTTGAAGCCTTTTTCGAAGTCCCGTCCTTTATAACATTCCAAATCCAATAAACATTATGTGTCATTGTTTAGTTATGGTAAGGAAGCTAAGCATCAAAATAAAAATGCATTAGATTGAAAGATGGTGTGAAATCAGAATTATATTTTTACTATTGTGTTTAACAAGATTATTCTGGAACGAAAATGAAAGACACGCATTTTTTTTTATCGAGGGGTGATAATAAAATTAGCATATAGAATACTACAAAAACAGCCGTTCAAAAAACAAGGATTATCTTAATTTGTTTCTTGAACTATAATGATTATTATATTTTTTTCTATAAACTTGACCATAAACGTTCAAATTTATTCCATTATTGTCGTTGTAGCATTATTCAAAAAAACCTATAGTTTAGTCTTTGATCTTTAATAAAATTTTAAATATATAGTTTAGTTTCCAATAATTGAGGACCCGTTTTATAATCATTTTAGTTTTTGGTTTTTTGTTTTTCTTGTTTTTAGTTTTTGGTTTTTGATTTTCTATTTTTAAAAAACAAAAATCATATATGTTTCTTAACCATTTTTTGTTTCGAAACACGTTTGGTAACCATTTTTAGTTTTTTGTTTTCAAAAAGTTAGAAAATTGAAAATACATATTAGAGAGAAAAAGTTTTATGTAGGGTAGGGATGACAATGGTGTGGGGGCGAGTGAGGATGCTCTCCCCCATTGTCGTGCTCCTCAAAATTTTTAGTCTCCGTCTCCACCTCGTTCTTGAGTTCGAGAGATGTTCTCGAGAAAAATTATCGGTTTTATAATTGTTTTTAATTATCTTTAGAATTTAAGTATAAAAAAGTGTAATAAATATATATTAATTATTTAAAAATAGAATCGAGGACGGAGATGGGGTCGAGACATGCATTTTCTATTTTTGGGACCCGACCCTGCGGAAATTTTTGTCTTCCCCTAATGTAGAAACATAAAAATAGATATGTAAATAAACATTTGGAACATAAATTTTAGAGAGATAAATAAAAATATTTAGAAAAAAAATAGTGAAAGAAAAGTTAAAGACAAAAAGAGAAAAATTTTGGAGAAAAAATTAAAGTCGACGAAAAGATATGTTAAAGAAAAAAAATAGAAATGATAAGGAAAGAGAAATTATAGTGGCAACAAATTTAGAGATAAAAACAAGATTTATAGAAAATAAATAAATACTAAGATGAATAAAAGTTACAGTGAAAGAAAATTGAACGAGAAAATAAAATATAATTTTTAGAGGAAAAAATAGATTATGAAAAGAAAGAAAAGTTATAAAATATTGAAATTTTAGAGAGAAAAAAGTTGGAAAAATATTAAATTTTTAGGGAGAGAAATGAAACCGGCCTGTTAGAAAAAAAATAAAAATACAGAAAAATTTGGAGAGAGACAAATAACCGTAAATATTATGAAAATTTTAGAGGGAGAAAAATAAAGTTTGTTGAAAGAAATCTAGAAACAAAAAAAATTTTAGAGTGAAAAAAATGAGATTTTGGAAAAAAAAACAAAAAACAGAAAATTGAATTGGTTATCCAACGACCCTATTTTTGAAAAACTAAAAATTAAAAACCAAAAACTAAAAACAAAATAGTTATCAAAGGAGCGTTTTTTCGTTTTCCAATTTAGTATCTACACTTTTTAAAAGTTTTAGTTTCATCCTTTGAGTGTGATTATTATTATTAGTTTTCGATTAGGTCCTTGCACCAAACGTGAAAAAGAAAATTATATATGAATTTAAAAATGATAACTTCTATGAGATTCTAAATGGTTAGTATGTCAGAAGTTAGTGGGTTATTTTTCTACAACAACAAGCAGTTGCTTGAGTAAAATACTATGTGCTAATATGACATGAGTAATTAAGTTACAAAATTTTTGGGTGAGTTAGAAGCCTATTTCTTCGTTAAAATATTTTCAACTCAATCAATAAAATGCACAAGTTATTCTAAGCTAGATGTCCATGGAGACATTGTTTAGATATTAGTGGATATCTAGATACTGAAAAGACTGCGTAAAACAGGTTTCGTCCATTTAAAGTAAAAAGTGGCTTTAGAACTAAACTACTAAAACAAGATTCTCGATTAGAAGTAGAATGTGGCCAGTGGTACTTATTCCATACAATTTGCCTCCTTAGAAGTGCATGAAGAAAAGTAATTTATTAATGTCATTGCTTATTCCTGGGCCGAAGTCACCTGGAAAAGATATTGATGTTTACTTACAGCCATTAATTGAAGAGTTGAAAGAGTTATGGGATACTGGGGTTCGTACTTATGATTGTGCAAGTGGTGAGTATTTTTAACTACACGCAGCTCTTTTATGGACTATTAATGACTTTCCAGCATATGGCGACTTATCCGGATGGAGTACGAAGGGATACCAAGAATGTCCTATCTGTAAAAAGGATAATTCATCTTTTCGAATAAGAAACAAAATTTGTTTCATGGGACATCGACGTTATCTTCCTCAAAATCATAGTTGGCGTGGGAGTAGACTGCATGATGGAAAGTTAGAACGACGCCCCCCACCAGTGTCAATGGATGGAGATGCGATTCTTCAACAAGTAAATACACTAAACTTTCCAGATTTCGGTAAGAATCCAACCAAACAGAAGAGTAAAAGAAAGCGAGATTTAAATTGGACAAAAAAAAGTATATTCTTCGAACTTCCCTATTGGTCGAAACTTATGTTAAGACATAAGTTGGATGTGATGCATATCGAGAAGAACATATGCGACAATCTAGTACGAACTTTGTTAAATATTGATGGGAAAACAAAAGACACGATCAATGCGCGTCTGGATTTGGAAGATTTAAAAATTTGAAAAGATTTACACTTACAAAAAGAGGGGAATAAAGTTGTAAAACCACATGCTACATATACATTGACTGCTGCTGAGAGGGTGAAGTTTTGCAAATTTTTGAAATCAGCTAAGTTTCCCGATGGATTTGTGTCGAATATATCGAGATGTGTGAGCGCAAAGGACGGGAGACTATGGAGGTTGAAAACTCACGACTGTCATGTTTTGCTACAACGACTCTTACCGATTGCCATTCGAGCATACGTACCAAAGTATGTGGGTACGACTATCGTTGAACTATGTAACTTCTTTCGTGATATATGTGCAAAGACAGTACGCATCAGTGATTTCGATCGATTGCAATCTGACATTATAATCATACTATGTAAGTTGGAGAGAATATTCCCACCAGTATTTTTTGATGTTATGGTACATCTTGTAGTTCACTTACCATACGAAGCAAAAATTGTGGGGCCAGTTAGTTACAGTTGGATGTACCCTATCGAGCGTAGTCTCCAAACCTTAAAACAATATGCACAAAAAAAGAACAGAGCTCGTCCTGAGGGTTCGATAGCTGAATCATTCCTCATGAATGAATCGTTGACTGTCTGCTCATTGTATCTGAGTGGAATTGAAATGAGATTCAATAGAGATGAACGCAATGATGATACTATTGTCGGTTATAAAAATTGTGGACATTTTGACGTGTTTAGGCTAAGTGCACGACCTCTTGGGGCATCAACTTCCAAAACATTATCCGTCATTGAAAGAAAAGTTGCACACTGGTACGTACTGAACAACTGTGCAGAGATAGAGTCGTATCGCGAGTAAGTTCGGCTTATGCTACGTTCACTTTAATTTCACACTTAATACGTATAACACTAATGCGATTTTTCTCATTTTTTGGAATTGTAGTCAACATTTGAGCTCAATTCGAATTCCTGGAGACAATGTTCCTGCCCTGTATGAACGACACAGTACACAATTTCCTGATTGGTTAAAAAAAAAGGTAATATTGATTTTTAGGGTTTGAATGTAGATGAACACAAAACGAAATCGTTAAGTATTTTGTTATGATCTATTACAGGTTTTGACATTACGAGAACAAGGCGAATTAGATGATGATCTTTATTCACTTGCGTTAGGCCCGTCACTAACTGCACGTTCATATAGTGGTTGTATTGTAAACGGACTATGTTTTCATAATATAGAACGTGATAGTTGTCGAACGACACAAAATAGTGGGGTCATGGTGTGTGGAGGAGAAGGGGATGACATGAATTGTTATGGTGTCTTGAGTGATGTTTGGGAGTTAGATTATGTTATGGGGAGACGTGTCATACTTTTTAAGTGCAAATGGTTTGACACAGACTCTAAGAAGAATAGAATTCGAGTTGACTTAGGTTTTAAGTCGATTAATACGTCTAAGTATTGGTATGCCGACGACCCCTTAATTCTCGCTGGACAAGCACAACAAGTGTTTTATTTGGATGACCCAAACTTGGTAATAATTGGAAATTGTGCAACATATTCTAAATAAACGTGTATGGGATATTCCAGAACAAGAAGAGTTTGAAAATGATCAAATTTCATTGTTAGAAGTAGGATCTAGGATCGGAATAGATGAATCCACTCAAGATAGTTCATTGCATCGAGATGATGTTGATCCTATTGTCGTTGAGGGTCGAGAACAGTCCAATAAAAGCATAGATGCGAGCAATGTGGACGATTTTATAAATGACGAATCAGACGATGTGGACGCGTTAACTGATAATGATATAGATGATGTTGATGATGAGTACTATAGCGAATAAGTATTCCTCCAAGTATGTCGATTTAAATATATGTTGGATAAATTATGCATCAAATTAATTTATGTTGAGTATTTGTTTTGTCAATATATAATACTTTTCGTTGGTTCCCTAAGTTCGCAGAAAAATGAGACCAGACCAAGCAGGTCAGTTAGAGGCACACATACAGGGTCGTGAGCATCCACCAGCAGACTCGCCTGTTCCGGATTTTCCTCCAGGTACGTCAATTTAAATATATGTAAAATAAATAAGTATGATTTTACTAATTGGTTTATTGTTTCGAAACATACAGATAGATTAGGCGTGCGAGGATATACTCGATTGATAGAGCTAGAAAATCAAGTTCGTGCAACGAACGCAAAGGTACGTATCGTATATGATCACACAGTTAATAAACCATATGTCCCATGGCAACCACATTCTCTATGGCGATCGGGGTACATACACGCGAACAAGTGAATCTAAAGGTTAACCAGTGGAATGAGGTCGAAGAAATTCAGAAGAGGGCAATTATAACTCCGCTCAAGGTTT